GGTAATAACATTTTTTTTCTATTTTTATTAGTCAATTATAAGTATTCTATTATAAAATATAAAAAATATATTATAATCCAGAAATTCTCTCAGTTTTTCTGGGTTATAGAAAATTGGGTGTCTGGCCTAATATTATTATGATTAAAAATAATAGCCTTCCCTTCGCGTTTGCTTTGAAAGCAAATATTTATATACGAAAAATTTTTCTTGATAATTTATTTTAATATTGATTTATACGTTTTTTTAAATGAATATAAGAATATAAATTGAGTTGCAGAGAAGTTATTAATCAATTAAATAGTAAATAATTAATTATCTAAATTTATTTAATAAATTTAGTGGAAACAAAATATATTTGTAGATTGTAATTATTGCCCTACTACTCTATATCTGAGTTAACATTGCAGTTATTTAGTAATATAATATCAAAAATATTTTGCTATAAAAATATATATCTTATTATTTTACAGCTCTATTTGAAAACATGGATTTCGGACCGAGGAGAAGTACAATACGCGACATACTTGAGAGTTCTGGTTTAGGTGCCATATTGCAAGAAGGCATAACAGAGATTATTAAGAATCGTCCTGAGGATCCTTTAAAGTTTTTGGGAGAATACTTACTTGCCAACCGTCACCGTGCCGCTCAATTGGCGAAACTCAGTGAAGAATTAAAGGAATAAATTCCACTAAGGATGAAAGAAGTTCAATGAGATAGTATTTGCTTTGTTAAATTATATAATAATAAATATTTTGATTGTGCCCGAAGAAAACTGTTTCATTTAAAAAAAACTTGATTAGTTATAGTTGCGTTGTTTATATTAGATTCAAATAGCATGTTTTGAAAGTAATGAATGAAGTGAAATCTAAATATAATTAGGGTTTTCTGACAAAGGCACACGAAATGCAAGAATGCTATACAAAAATTGCCGAAGTGTGAGAACACCTCTGTTGCAAAATAGCAACATCAAATTAAAACAGCTGTTTTTGCAGTACATCACATTCACATGAGAAGCAAAGGATGTCAAAACGACTGCTTTTTTTTTTTTGTTTCGTTGCAAGCATGTATACATGGGTTTAGGTATAGCAAGATTGCAAGAAACATTATGCGTTTATTTTGTTGTTGTCCAATGCAAACTTACGCAATTTGTACATTTCGTGTACCTTGCAATGAATTTGCTAGACATGATGAATACCCGTAACATAATATATCACCTCGCAAAATAGTTACAAAAGTATTAAAGGACAATTTAACAGAATAGCAAATCTTGAAAAATCAGAAATTGAAGAAAAGGTGATCCAAAATTATCAAACTACTACTTCATGCTTAATGGATCAATGATACAACTCAATTGATGCTATTTTCAAATTTTTAAAACAAAATATTTTTGATAGATTCGTTAGGATAGGTCTTATCTGCGAGTGCTCCATATTCAGTTGTAAGAATATTTATATTATGTTAGAATTGAATATTATTCCTTTTTATATTCGGTGCCTGGAGGGAAGAGAATTCCAACTTTAATAAGTCTTAAATTTTTTATTATTTGTATTATAGAATATAACTTTAGGTTATACCACATCTGGATCTTTGTTTAAATATAATAAAATTATGCAGTGAGTAATGTAGTCAAATATAAGCGTCATAGACAAATTAAATCGTAAAATAGTTAAGTAAGGTCAGGTCTTACTGACGCTCCTCATGAGGATTCGCTTAAGCCATTATGCTACTATATAAAAATTCAGATATTTAATTGCAACTTGAACCCTTTTTGATGCAGCTTAAAATGCTCTCTACAGAAAGGTCTTCAAGTTGGGTAAGACAAGATCACGTATGCATCGTACAGTGGTAGAGCAGATGTGTGGTACTTTTACAGCTGTGGTAAGAATTATTAAATAACAGATAAAATAATCTACCATGGCTCTCCAAATTGATGTGGCCCGTCAACAAATCTGTCGCAAGACTGATATCCTTACGTGCCATATCAGTAGACATACTAATGTTTTTTTTAATTAAACATTGTCAGTTGCAAGTTGTTTATTCTCTCTATCTTATATTATATTACTCAATAAAAGATTTTAACAATTCTTTGTAAACTACTTAAACCAAACAGAAGTTTGTTAGTCCCTTTATCTCCTAAAAGAGTATAAGGCCTCAAAAAAAAAAAACAGAAGTATACCTCTTTATAAAGATCTTTGCAAGTACATGAGTATCGAAGCACACTGTTCAAGTCTGTACAGTAATATATAATATTCTGTATTGTAATACATAATATTCAAAAATGTATTAAGCATATCTTTTGAATAGCAGTTTCAGTTAAATTCATTAATAGGAACTATTTCTAGAATGAGAACTTTATTATCATCGTGAAGATGACTTATATTTGTTATACAATAAAATTACTACAGTGCTCGCAAATGGAGATCAATTACTCTTTTGTTAGAATTCCAGATACTTTTGAGAAACAACTGTAATATCAAAAACGTTTGTAATAGAAATACAGTAATCCCCCCTATAATACGTTTTCATATTACGCGATTTCAATCCTCCGTATAACACAGACATTCCCCTATTTAACGCGGGGATTTATACAATATATGAGAATATACCTATTATGCGTTTTCCTATAACGCCGAACCAATCTACCGCATTATAGGGGGGATTACTGAATTTGTTTAGTTAAGTCTTGATCTTTCTGCATAACTATTAATATGTATAAAAAATATTTTTAAAAATGATATTAGTCTTTAGAAATTAAATGTTTCTCTCCAGTAATGGGTATAAGATTATACACCTATTATAAAACAAATAATTTTTTTTTTTTTAACTTATTTAGTTGCAATCACTTTAAACTTTTGACAGGCAGAATTCATTGCCAAGAAAGTTTTGTAGTATCAAAAGTGTTAAAAGACATTTAACTTGCTCTACTATGCGTTTTTTACTTGTTTATATTTTGTTTGAAATTTTTTGGCAATATTTCAAGTGCATCTGACCATTGCAGATTTGTGCAATAGATTTATGCGTCTCAACTGCAGTAACAATTCTTCGTTAACATTTATATTATTAAGTTTTCCTTAAGTTTAACTCTGCAACTGTGGCTCAAAAAGTTTTATTAAGAAAAGTTTTTCATCGAAACTTAAAATGCCATACTAAAATATGTTTCAGTGTTTATAGATAAAATAAAAATAATAACATTAAAACTTATTATCTAGATATACATATGTACAAATATGTGAAAAAATAATAGTCAGAATGCGAACTTAGTGTTACTACTAAAAGCTATTAATTCCGATAAAGAACTTTAATGTTGTCTCTGGGGATCTGATTTTACTATAAAAAATCAATATATTTTAAAATAATTTAATTATAAATAATTATCAAAATATATAAAATAAATTTTATTTATTGTAAAAAATAATATTATATTACATGGCAATACTTTGGATCCACTTGTCTTATGGTTTATTGTGCTGCCATATAAATCACACTTGAAACCATTTCGAATTTTTTATAAAGCATAAGCTGCTCCTTAAATAGAGAAATTTTAACTCATTAAAGTTATCTAGATGTGACCACTTAGATATTTATTTTACGAATGTCTAAAGTATGCGTTACAGTTTAAACAAACACGTATATAAACTAACTCCTTTATATTTCACAGAATTGTGACATTAAAAGAAATATTTCATATACTAATATGTTTGCTTAATCGGTAGTGACCTATCGACATCTTAATGAAATCCCTAGATTATTTTCTATTTAATATAGACAACTTTGTTAACTAATGTCAAAATATCGTTTAACTTTCATATCTAAAAATTGAGTGTTCCAGGCAACAGAACTTTAGCGGTATACTCAGAATATTTAGATATTCCATATACAATACCAAAACATATTGTTCGGTTATATAACCTGTTTGCCAGAAAAGAGAAACATTAAACTATGACGATATTTTGCCCAAATAAACGTGACAGTCAAGAACCGTTTTATAAGTGAATCGAACTAAAGACAAAGTAAAGTCTTTGTATCTTGGTCATCCCATAATACTTCAAAACTTTCTATCTCTTTAAATGCACTGCAAATCGTTAGGAATTCTATAATATATATATCAACCTGCACAAAAAACCGATCACCTCATTTTCTATCTCAAAGTCATTAATTTATAGGTTTAGATACACATACGAAACAGAGAGGGATTATCAAGAGTATAACATTTTAAAAGACAATCATCTCTATTCATTTAAAAAAAAATATACTAAAATAAGGATTTTAAAAAGAGCCCAATAGGATTTCGACTTCCTACATACACATATACATATAAATGTGTATATAAATTTAACTGCTTATAAGTTTTATGATAATTAATTTAGTAAACAGCAAAAAAACTTCGACAAAAAATATATTTTGGTAAGTCCTCCTTTTCTCAATACTGGCTACGGCACTGTAAATACTGTACCAAACATATTTTAGCAGGAGAAACATAGGAGAGGATAAGAAAAAAAAATTATTGAGAAATGATATTGAAGAATTGATTAACATACAGCCTTCGTACAGCCTGTGATGGAAGAGCTAAGCAGCTTCTACTGTTATTTTTAACCAGTAGGACTGTGGCGTTCCTTAGAAGGCTTAATAGCGAAAATTATACTTAAACAATGAATTAAAATCAATATTTTGATATATTATAGCATAATAAGAGAAAATTTTACTTTTTTATTTGCCCAAAAATTAAAATACAAACTTATAATAACAACACCAATTCAATATTATCAAAAAGTATAATGAAATTTTGGATGTCTTAGTATTTTCACAATTATAATTTAAATAAAAGTATATAATTTTATCAATAACCAACTTCTTTGTTATCTTCACTTTCTTTTTGAAATGCTTTAATTATGTTTCAAATATTTTAATTTAATTTAATTACTTTGTAATAAATATTTAATATATATAAATAAATAAAAGTTCATAACTAATTTTAAACATATGTTTTAAATTTCTTATAATTAATAATAGATATGGAGTTTATGACAATTCATCTTACAAGTGAACTTGTTCATCTTACAAGTGAACTTTGGCAATTCAGGAATGTATCTTTTAGATATTTCAATTAATGCATTTAATTTCGTGTGCGCATCTATAAAGGAACACTTCATAGGTCCGTCCACAAACTCTCTTGAGGTCATATCCTCCAATTTAATCTTTAATAATAATTTTTTAATTATAATTTTATTCACCCCACTTAGTATTTCTATATCGTTTACATTTTTAACATATTTTTTTTTTGCCATAAAATTGATATTGATGTATTTTTCCACCATTTCAAAAAGTTTTGGTTTACTTAGTATTGTACTAAGCATTTCGAAAAGCACTAAAAAGGATGATAGATTTAAATTATTAATCGAAGACGGTAGAACTTTTGGATCAGCATTGAATACAGCAGATTTAAAAACTATTTCCATACACTTGTCAGAAATTGGAAATTTTAGGCACTCCACTAATTCAAATACTGTAACAAATCCCCTATTTGTTATCGATTCTTCACATATATCGCTTAAAGAACTTATCATGTATTTGTCACTTAAATAGGACAACTGCAAATGCTCTATTTTAAAACATGTTGATGGCATTTCGTCCCAATAGACAAAATTTACAAAATATTCAAACACATAAGATTGAACATCACTCAAACGAATTTCACAATTTTCTTCCGATTCTAAATAATTTCCATTGAACATCGAATTGAAAACCTCTGAGCATTCTGCCAAGACTTTCTTGTGACATTGTATGCGTTTTATTTCGTCTTTGGCGATTCCAACGATAAAAGTGCAATCCGTCGGTGTATTTTCCAAAAACATATATTTCTCCATTTTCCTGAAGTTCAATAAAAGAATCAGATTATATAGTAACGAATAAATATTTTTATTATATTTATTTATTAACTCACGAAAGTTCACTCCACTTTTTATCTTTATTTATAGACATTTTTGCAGAATTATGTTTCGTTTAGCTAAACTCGTCAACGCGATGTCTTCGTTCTTCTGTTTGGATTGGAGTGAAATAGTGGAAAGCACCGACTTCGGTTTTAGTTGAAATTGGAATTTTGCGATTGGAATACAACTGTCAAAATATTCAGTGTTGTAAACGTAAATTAGAGAACGTCTATGGTTGATTGAAGTATATACAAAAAGAATTGCTTCCAAACAACAAAAACTTCACCCACTTTGAGCAAACAGAGATAAAGTGCTAAAAAAATTAATTTCTTATAACATTTTGGCGAACGTTTGACTACATGCGATCTTACCACGATGACGTCAATTTGCTCATTTAGGGTTGCAGTATAATAATTTGTTGTTACATACTAATCATATATAAACACTTTAGTAATATAAAATGCGGTCGTTATTAGAATAATTATAACACATATTGTAGCGATTAAAATAAAATAAACATGTACTTAAATTATTATATAAAAATTGAAATAATTTAATGTTTTAAAACAAAAAAATATTAATTTTTTATATTGTATTTTTACTCGAGTTATGAAGGTATTGACTATTTTACCTAGTATAAATTATTGTATATAATAGACAGTTTTCGAAGAGTAGTGAAATACAACAGCAAAAATATGTTTTCATATTATTTTTAATTAATTGAATTTTTGGCTGACCATACAGCAGTTTCGAGTATTGCCAAACACCCATCATCAATGGCCTTGGAATTATTTCTTATATTAATTCAATTATTATAATTCGTTCTAATGTACTATAACACAGCAAGCGAATTTGTTAATTTATTTTTACAGAAAATTAAAAAAACTCTAGAAAAAAAGGGCGTACATACAAGTCAAAGCCGGCTTTGAGCGAGTTGGCTAATGAACACTACCTCAAACTTCAAAAATTTAGCAGAGTACGAGGGCAACCCTTTGTACTTGCAGTCTCAAAAAATTGTTTACAAAATATTTAATTATTATTAATACAAGACTTTTCCTGGCTTATTTACATAATCATACAATGTAGATCGGGACTGTCCAAACCAGATAAGATCGCGGGCCAATTTAAATCATTGAATAGGTTGGAGGGCCGCAGAAATAAATACGTACGTTTATAATTTTGTCGGAGAAAAATAAGAACATAGCAATAATGTTAAATTTAGTTTTATTGATTTCTCATTAATTTGTCTTTTATAATTCTATTAACATGTAATGACATCCACTGGACATGAGTTGCAAATTAAGTAAATTAAAGTGAAGTACTCGTATAATAAATTATTTAAATATTTTTATTCATTTCATATAACAAAGAAAAATTTGTCAATTGTGGTAGATTAGAAACAAGTAGCGGGCCACACATATATCAGCTGCCGACCGCATGAGGAAACATGTCGCGGGCCCCGCACATATATTAGTAGCGGGCCGTGTTTTGGAAGTCCTGATGTAGATGATCGAAGAATATTTTTTTTATATTCAGCAAATTTGTATTTGTTATTGCTTTTTTAATATAAATTTTACAGTATTTTTTAATATATACCTAATACGTTCAGTATGAAACTTCTGTGGGAGCTGTGCAAAAAAGTCCATTTATTTTTTGGAAAACAAAAAAAAAGAATATTTTTAATATTACTTATTTCATGAGTATTTACCTCTAAATATTTTGAGAATATATAGTATTACTTCTAAATATATGTTAAAATAAAATTATTAAATACCGTTTTATTGTGAAATTAGTAGTAAAGATCGAAATGAGTACCAATTTATATTTTAATACGGCAGCTCTCAAGAAGTAAATGTCACATTTTATTGATTTGTATACGCATATTTATTGGAATAAGTATTCCAAGATCTCTCAATTGTGGTGAGTACGCGCGCATTCGCTCCCGATTTATTTGGTGAATGATATGTTTTGTTAGCTTACATACATTACTATATGATCAGTAGTGAAAAACCTGCCAATAAGGTTGGGTGTATACGCTTTTATTATTAATAGGTTTATTTGCATTTATTTAAGCGGAAATGTTCTATAAAATTTTATAGAAAAAACATTTCATATGAAAGTTTTATACGTAATTATCGAAGAATTTTGTTTTAGATCATTATAAAGTATATTTATAAATAAATTGCTAAATATTGAATAATTCAATAATATTATCTTACTTTGATTGAAAGCAGCAAAAGTTTCTCACATAGTTTATTATTTTTATAAAATGAAGTTGGCTTAATTACTTATCTGAATTAATGCAAGTTTTAAACAAATATATATAATATTTTAAAATAAAAATTTTACGTAAAATTTATTATAAAAATTAAGTAAATATTTTTTGTGAAATACATTTTTTTTTTAATTTATTTCATACAAGTTTAATGCAAAATTTAGCTTATTTCGTTAATATCGTTTGATTTGGCCTAACGAAAGTAAATTTTGTATTTCTCTCTAAAATTCAAAACAGAAGAACAAAACAAAACTCTTACCAAATATAGTACTATATTTAATAAAATAAAATTTATTGAATGAGAACCAAAGATGTTAACTTATATATGGAGAAATTAACTGAAAGAAGGAAAAATATATCTTTTTAAATTTTTTTTTTTATAATGCAAGTGTAGTCTTATTAAAATAAAAACAACAATGATAGAACATATCAAGATTGATCAAATTTTGATCGAGTTTCTCGCACTTGAGTCCAAATTTTAAATATTAACAATATTAAATTTTGTTAATATTATTATTAATATTAAAATTTGAAACCTAGCTCTGCTGTCTAAAAATTTTATATAGTCAAATAAATCTAATAAATATTTTTAAAGACAATGGATGATAGATACAACAGCTATATGGTTAGACAAAATTCACTAAATTAAAAATAAAATTTTTTAGTTGTAAGAAGGTAGGTAGATAGGTGAAGTGGTGGGAGGACCAATACCATCTTATATACCTTCAATTTAATCTCATAGATTGAATCAGAGGATCTAAATGAAGTATGTAAGCTATGTCGCTCTTTTTTTATCTTCTGAAAAAATATTAGCCCAACTTCTGTTGGACCAGTCGCCGAAAATTACTGGTATGTAACTGTTATCTGTAGCTGATTAAAGCAGAAATTGAAATAAAAAGTTCCATTGAAAAAGCGCCGAGTATTACAAGGTCATCAGTGTTCTTGTTTTCCTCTATGTTTGTTTGCCCAAGAACACAAGCCACAGTACATTTAAAACTAATATATGTCAAGTTGATAAATCACCTACATTTGCGAACTATCTACGTTCTAAATACTGATAAGAGAACAATTGAGTGGAAGGTGTTGAATATTATTGATTCTTTAAAACATTAGACAATAACCCTCTTAATGCTTAATTAATCTTATTAGTGTCTGTTAAGACACTAATAAGGGTTTCATTTTGGGAGTTGAGACGATGCATTGTGGCGATGGTGGCTGTTTTCCAAATTTTCGGAAACGAACCTAGTTGGAGAGTTGCCTTTTTTGACTATGAAATTTTTCCCATATTATTCATAAATTCTAAATGTAGTGGTTATTAATTCCCAACTCCAATGCAGAGTTCAATGATATATTCAAAGTTTTGGGATCTGGTATTGTTGCGGTTTGCTGAGCTATCCTCAGCCGTCGCTATATATTTGTCAATTGTGACCAAAATATTCAAAGACGTAGTTCTTTAAGGATTCGTTTAGATCTTGTTATTCTTCCGTCAAAGTCAAGTAACCAGTTACCAGTTAGTGAAAAAAGGAATAAAAATTTGATAAAAATATTAAAACTATTTAATGTTATGTTGCATACTAAATATGTTTTTATGTAGAGGGAAGTTTGAAGTTTGGGGCAAATTTTCGGACATACAGTATTCATATCGTTTTGTCACACATTGAAGCGATATTTTTTATTTATTTTGCAGCAGAAAATGCTTGCATACACTCCAGAATACTGTTTTTCCGGGTTAGGAACTCTTTCCTCCTACTATTTTGAAATTACAGATTTTTAATTATTCATGAGGCACTTTTCTTCATTTTATTTGAATGGTAATTTGTAACAGATTTTTCGAACTCTTCTCCTTATTAACAAATTTTATATTGCTTTTGACATTGGCCGGTATATAAAGTAGATGTAGTTAGGAAATTAGATTTCATGTTACGATTTTAAGTCTGATGTTCGTATTAGTTAAGACCCATTCAAAAAATTTTATGTTTTTGGTATCAATTGCGATTTCGGTCCTCTGAGTCCTAAAACAATCTTTCGAAATTGACTGGATTGGTCCATATGAAAAGTTAACAGTCTATAACTCTCAAATGACGATTTCTGAACAACAGTGATTGGTCGCCCAGATTTATTTTTATTTTCAACACTTTCTCTGCCTTCTTTGATTTTTATACCCCAGATTTACTAATTGAAAACGGCATAAATCTAATATGTTATAGTTTGGTTATAGAAAAAGGAAATATATTTTTAAAAAATATTGGTAATATTTAAATTGGATATTCTATTAATATAACTACACTTTTTTTGAAATTTATTTTTTTTTTAACTGAAATATGTTTTTCAGAGATATGTCTTATTTTCATTTCAATAATTAATTTTTTATATTTCCAGGCAATTAAATTTCAAAACCAGACTATTTCGCACTAAAATTTATTTTTTTTTGAATATTTTTCCTGACGGTCAGATGTTTCTATTCATCAGCAAGTCGAGTTTATAGCAAAGAATTTAAACATTTTTTTTTTTTGTTTAAAATTTCTCGTCACGTATGTGAAAATCCATACAAGAAAGCCGTTGGCATTAAATTGGTCGAATAAAATTGGCAGCTTTTGTCACGATGCCTGTTTGTGGAGTGGTTGCTGCCGAAGTATTGCAGTCCGGGTTATGGGATGCAATTTTCAATGAATAAATTTTCTATTCTGTCAGTTTGGCCTTTGCATAACAAAGAAGTATTCAATATGCACAATTTGAAATTATTAAATGATGCAGAAAACAATTTTCAATTCAAATTTTGATTAATATTTGCTTCAATATTTGTTTTCTTTTATTTTCAATAAAAATTATATCCATTATAAAACGCGAGTGTTGATAAAAACAGTTTCTTTCACATTTTTTTCTTAAAAAATATCTAACAGATGTGCATTCTTATTTGTGCTGTAGCTGACTTTTTATTATTATACAAAAGCTCCTAAACATGAAATAATGATTTAAGAATTACGTGTTCTTGAGTAATTAGAAAAAGTTATTTTTTTTACATCAACTCTC